GTGGGGAGTTGGGGGGGGCTCCGCGCTGCCGCCTCTCCCGGCGCCTTCCGCCGGCGGGTCGCGCTGGGGTGTAGCCCCGCGGGTGCGTGGAGGTCGGCTCTTTGCCCCCCCACCCGCGTGTGTGACACACCCGAACACACACACACCCCCACGCGCGTTGGTGGGTGCCAGCTGCGAAGCGCTGCCGTGCGCGTGAGCGTGACAATCCGCGCGCGCGGGGTGTGTGTTGGGGGGGTGGGGGGGCAGTAGTTTTTCCCCCTTGATGCTGGGGTGTGTGTCTGTGTGTATGTGAGTGTGTGTGTGAGTGTGCCTGTGCCTGGCCTTGGGTCTCCCAGCGAAATCTTTTTAAAACTAGGTTTCCTCGCTCTTTTTTTTGTGTTCTGGTGGTTAAAAAAGAGCTAATCGCGGGCGGGTGACTTCGTGGCCGTAGGATCTGCCTAGGCTCCGCTTTCGAAGGGTGCGACCGTTAACCTTTAATTAAACTCCATCATTTAGGCAAGCACCCTCGAGGCATGTTATTTTAGTTTTTGGGGTTTTTTTTGTTTTTTTTTTTTTTTTTGTCACCGTTTATAATCGACTGCTCTAATGAATAGCAATATACGTGCTTCTGACTTGAAAACCTACTTTGCTCCCGTCTCCTCATCTGAATGCTGGGTGTTACTCTAGGCGAGGGATTTAAAGACTTGCACAAATAAATAGGAGTGGTTTCTGAAGGTTGTAAAACTTAATTTCTCCCTGCGTTCACGTGTAGGTACCGATTTGTCTTTGAACGCACGTTGTTCAGTAAAGGAACAAACTGCCTCGGCGTCTGGCTTTTTTTCCCCCTCTTAAAATGGGTTTCTGTGCTAGTGTATTTCTGCAAATTACTTAAAGTTGTACATTTCCCCTCATTGTGTTCATCCTCTCTGTTTCTTTTGGCTTTGAGTACCAGCTTGCACGGTGGCTTCCGTTGAGATGTAGTTTATCTTTATTAGATACCTTTATATGTTTGCTTATGTCTAATAGGGATGTTTCTCCTTTTTGTCTTCTTAGGTTTTGGTGACTTCAGAGTCATTTAGGGGTTTGGTTCTGAGGAAGTAAGAGACACGAGGATTGAGTCTATTTCACGTAGAAAGCTACAGCTCTTCACCAGTACTCTTGTTTCCTCCTCCCCCGTAGGGGAGGACAATTTGGGAATTACCTTGACAGTCATTTACTCCCCCTTCCCCCCCTCAGAAATCTCTCTTGGTCCCTAAGGCATCCGCTAGACATTGTCCAGGAGAACGTTATCATCATCATCACCATCACCATCACCATCCCTTGCTTGCTTTGGGCGCCTCAGTGGTACCTTCCCATCCTTTGGAGTACAAGTGCAGGGAGGCATCCAGGAGGCTTCCTCGCCGTCCTTTTTGGCTAGTGGGGGATCCAGGAGCAGGGGTGCCCAGCTGGAGAGACGCGACGGGGAGCCAGAACTGGAGCAGCACTTGGCACGCCGGAGGGAGCGCCCATCTTTGTGGCATCCCTTTTTTTTTTTTTTTTTTTTTTGTCTTTTCATTCCGTCTTCCACTCCTTCCTCCCCAAATCCCTGGTAAGTCCCTCTAGCCCCCGTTCATTCACACGGTGCCTGCTTCCCTTCCCCCCACGGCTGGGAGAAGCCTGAGACAGAGAGTGGGGTGGGGGAAGGGAGGAGGGAAAACTGGCTGTGTACACACCGACCGGAGAGGGCGGATGGATGGATGGATGGATGGATGGATGGATGAGGGGTGTATTGTACCACATTGCGGGGAAACCTGGGCAGAGGAGGAAGAACCTTTCTTCAGCAAAGCGGCTGACGTGGGAGGAAATGTAGGTTTTATTTGCAGGGGCGTGCGTGCAGAGGCAGGCGGAGGGTGGTGGTGGAGGGGGGGAGGAAAAGAGCTGAGAGCCTCTTGTAGGGAAAAAAAATACTAAGAGCGAAGTGTAAGGGTGGCTGGTGCTGGGCAGCGTGGGGCTGGGGCTGCAGAGAGGGAAGAGAATGGATTATTCACTGAAGATGAGGAACTGGGGTGTGTGTGTGGATGAGGAATGTTATCACCTGCTTGCGAGCGTGACCGTAGTGGAGGAAGGACTTGGGGAGGGGGAGCGTGGGGGGTGTGGGTGTCTGCCTTTCCGAGGCGATTGTGTCTGGGAAGGGTGGCTGCCAGCATCTTTAGCCTTCCTCAGTGCAAAGGTGGGGACAAGCAGATGAAAGCCATGGCAGGGAGTGCAGTTGCCTGTCTGCGAGGGTGGAGGGGCTGCGCGGGGAGTGAATGGGAAGGATTAATATATTCCCATCTCCTTTGACTGTTGCAGCCTACAAATCTCCCCGGGAAAAGGAGGTGAATACGGCGATATGCTTTCAAAGAGGTGTGCTTGGGGTTCACCTGCTTGCAGTGACTTTACATTCTGTGATGCATGTGCAGAGGGCGGATGATAATGCAGCAGCAGTGGACAGATTGCGCTGCAGCTGCTCAACGTATTATGTAGAATCTATTTAAACAAATACTACCCTTTTTCAGATTCTTCAATTTTTAAAAATGGGTTCTTTCCGAAGATTCTCAAACCGTTATGTGATAGTCTTAGGAAAACTAGTCTCTGGTGTGCAAGAGAGGAATTTTTCTTGAGGTTGTCCTTAAGCATCACCATGAAGCAGCAGTGTCAGGAATGAGTTGATTTATCTTGGATTTATTTTTCTAAAGCAATTTTAACAAGTGGTTCAAGACGTCAGTTTTTATCTCTGTATATATCACCATGGCTTATAGTCAGCATCCATACGTATTTCCTTCAGGTTTTCTTTAGATGGTTGTCATTCTGGTATCTTTGTGTGGAAAACAATTAATTGTGCTTTATACTTGAAAAGGCTGTGAACTGTTTTCAGACCTGCTCTCCCTATGACAGAGAAAATCATAGTTCCAGGATGTTTCAAATACTGCTCCCTTCTCATTAAGATGAGGCAGAGACTTCCATGACAGTGTATGATAGATCATATGCTGGGTCATATACCAGATGACCCTTCGTTAGCTGTTTGACCCGTCTGCTACCTAAGATTGACTTTGTAATTTGGATCTGCCTTGAGGTATCTCCTAAAGGAGATAACTTATGAGCATCTGCCAACTGTTCTTAGGTCTTCAGTGTCTTGAGGTGTGGCCTCCAAAACAGCATTCTAGAAACTGCTGTAGCAGTAGAGACAATTGGTTTACTGGAAGCATGTCCTCAGATTAGCTAAGCAAAATACCTTTTAGAAAGCAAAATACCTTTTGCAACTTGAATAACACTGTTCTGCAAAGAAGCATTAACGATAAATATTTTTGCAACTTGAATAACACTGTTCTGCAAAGATGCATTAGTGATAAATAGAAGGTGCAGTGTTATTCATAGTGAGGTGAGTACTTTGAGCTGTATTTTTCCTAGTTCTTCATTTCCGATGGCAGTTGTGGCTGTCAGTCTCTTTCCTCTTCCCTTCTCACTTCCATGTGATTTTTATTGTCATTAGCAGAGCTGTCAGTAGAGCCAGAGGTAAGCTGAAACTAAAATCTGGGTTTACCTCTCTATTAACTGTTGAAATCCATGGCCTTGTGTTAGCTGCGTGGTGCTGTAACTGAGGCTGAGACTCAGAGCCAAGGTTTTAAGAAAGAGGTGATTCTGGGAGGGGCTGATGGTAATAATTGTTCCATGAACTTCTTTCCCAGATCTCACTGTAGTCAATGGGAGCGTGCTACAACTTCAGATCCTGAGTCGAGCAGTTGAGATAGCTAGATCTCTTTGATTCCTAATGTTACAAAACATCTGGGATTCCATTTGTCGTTCCCATAGGGAAGAAACAACCTAGTGTTTTTAAATTTACAAGAGTATTGAGTAGTTACATTCTGAATAGGTTGTGTGGTAGATTATCTTTTATGTCACTCATTTATCAATAATACATAAATTAATAACTATCTCCTAATAATTGGTTTCATGTTTCAACTTAGGGGAAAATACATCATGATGAAAAAGAGGCTAGTCCAGGGTGTCCTGCTTTTGGGCGTTGAAGACAGACAAGGAGTAAATGGACAATGGAGACCAATTTCCCATTCTTGGAGGCAGGTCTCTCTTCTCTGTGAAGAGAAGACCCCTTCAAGGCAAAAAAGGGTGGTCTTCAGAGAAGATCTGCCGGTCTCTCTAGACAGCTGGATTCCCTGTTATGTCAATAAAACATATTCACATATGTTGTCAAGTAGAAAAGTAGCACAGTGAAGGCTTTTGTTTAGAACAGCTGCTAAAGGTGTATTACAGATTCAAGGAATGCAGGAGGAAATAACGTTTGGATGTGATGGGGAGGAAGCTGCCCTGTGAATGCCAGAATAAAGCCTAGCGTAAGCAATACAGGGATGCCACAGATCAAAGCTGAGGTGATCTCTATAAATTCCCTCTATAAATTGCAAAGAACCTGTCCCAGGATGTGTTCCATACAGTGTCTTCCTGATGCAGGTGCAGCAGTGACTGCTTGGCTGGCGTGACACACAAGTTAGTCTGATTTTTATCATCGAGCTTTTACTTTGCCGCCCTTTTACCTCTCCCAGCCTGTTTTATGCAGTTCAGTTTATGATGGTTTTTTCATTTCGTAAATCTTTTGGTTATTGAAAGATTAGACTGATATTGACCGTAGCGAACTGCATTTCAGCTGGTCATTGTGAAGACATTTTAACATCTGCTCTTCCCCTTATATATACTATACTTATTTTGCAATAGATGCTCTAATGGATTAGGAAGTATTCCATGCACACCCAGCATTGTCTGAGGCTGTGTCTTTTAGATTGAAATGGGTGGAGTTGGTTTTCAGGGAAAAATTCTGGAAATCGTATCCAACTTGAGAACTTAATGCTGTTGTGCATCTGACTGCAAGGCAAGCTTTCCTCCTACGGACCATTTTCTTTAGAATGTGGGAGGGATTGTTAAGCTGTTTGGGTTAATAGGGTAAATTGCAGGTTCTGTGAGACTTCTTACACAATCAAAATAGAGATTATAAGGAGAGGCTGAAACAGGTGTGTAGATTCTGTTTTGAGGAGCAGAATGTCAGTGTGAAAAGGATATTTCTCTAGGTGTAAAAAAGAAAAAAAAACCAAAACCAAACCAAGTGGTGTTGTATTGGAGGTCAGGGAACCTCTGCCTCTGCCCCTGGTTTGTAGCTTAACCTGGTAAAAAAGAAAAAAAAAAAACAAAACCAAACCAAGTGGTGTTGTGTTGGAGGTCAGGGAAGCTTTGCCTCTGCCCCTGGCTTGTAGCTTGACCTAAAGTGAATTTCTTAATCTTTACCTCCAGACTTGAGGTTATTTGCTTGCTTGGTGATGAATGCGAGCCTTTGTACGTACATTTCAAAAACTTTCCAAGATTTAGAGGAAATGAGACATAGTATTAGGAGGGAGATGAATACCCAAACCCGAGGCATTTTTTATATCCTGCTGGTTTAATGTACTAATTGAGATATCTGGATGGCACTTCTTTGATGATGCTGTAGCTCCTTTCAAAAATAAAAGAAAGGTGGAGGAAAGGATATACCTTTTTTTCTTTCTTCTTCAATCCTTCGCTGATTTTTAAGAAAGAAAGTGCTGAAATGGCAGCTGGGGAGAGATGATGGCACAGTCTCTGCAGATTTTAGGGGGTGGAGGTGGGGCCGTGTAGAAAAGAGGTTTGAGAAAGATGAGAGCATATCCCTGTTGGCAAAGAAGACAAGGGTTAGTAGCAAGCAAAATGGGGAGAAGGCTACCAAAGAGGAAATACTTGTGTCTTTGCACCAGTGTTAGAACCAGTACAAGGGAAAAACCCAATCAACCCCAAAACCCCAAACGGGCTGAAAATCTGTAACGGCTTCTGGTTTTTGTTTTTTTTTTTTTTTTTAAATTATGACAGTGTCTGTCATTTTTTTTTTAATGTACTCAATGTTCTATAGCTCATTTTTAAAAATGAGATAGGCCAGGCTGTTAGGTAGAGCTGCTTTTCAAAAGAGAGGCGGCAGGTGGGGCTGTTTGGTCTCCCCAGTCCTTCAAGCAAATAGCAGAAATAAAGGGTAAATTGCCAAGAAGCCTTCTGAACTGTGCCCACAGCGGTGACATTTCTGAGGAATACAGCTCGTCCCAATTACTAGCTGAAGATGTTGTCCCAGGAAGTTTTTGGTAAACTGCCGTGTGGAGAAATCCATTGTTGAGAGAGCCAAAAGTGGGGCAGGATCTGACAAATGCCAGCCATTGCAAGCCCAGGCCTCACCTTGCCCTTTTTGCTTTCAGCTGCTTTGAAGAAAAAAGGAGTTCTTTGAAATATCAAAAGATATTCTTTACAACCTCCCATACCCGTTTTCCTGCAGGGAACAAACATTCCTTATCCTGCTTTACCTTGAGCATCTTGACTGCTGTCAAGGGCGAGTCTGTGGCTGTGATTGCCTTTCCCTGGCTCCTGCTTACTCTCACTCTGTTAGTAGGAAGAACTTTAGTCCTTGGCTTTATTGTTGCTCCTTATTCACCAAAGCAGTGGGAAAAAAGTCACAGTCTTTGCTGCTTGTCATATGGTTCTCAGTACCAGGGACAAAAATGGCCACTTAAAATTTTATGTTCTTGTGAAGAAAAACCTGTGCTATTTGAAAAAAAACTTCTTTAATTACAAAAAAAAAAAATTTAAAAAATCAGCTTGTTCTTATGGTTGTAACAAAACTGTCCTTTAGTCCGAAGGCCTGCTGCAGAAACGAAAATTCTTCGTAATATTGAATGAAAGCAGCTGTATACCTGTGGTCTTTCTGCATTACATTTTCTGCTGACTCGGGGTTCTGTCATTAAGACTACCAGGCAAAGCTCCTCTTTCTGTCCCAGAGTTCAATTCTGTTTGAAACTCATACAAGCTGTATTGGTGAAAACAATGATTTCTCCCTCTGTTTTAATGTGCAAGTTTAAAATACATCACGGAAAACACTTCTGTTTTTCTCCAGAATTATTTTTCCCTACACCATGCTGCTGCTTATGTTTTCTTGAGTGTAGATGAGTAGTCCATTAACCTACCTGTCATTTTTTTTAAGTATATAGTCAAAAATAGGCCAAATCCTCTGTATTCAAAGCCAAAGGAGCAGTACCTTGTTGTTACCACGTCTAACACCATTGATATTCTTAAATTTGAACTATTTCTTCTGGTTTTGGTGCTGAATTCATTAGCACTGTCTATGTCTAAAGGTGGTGGGTTTTTGTTTTTTGTTTTTTAATTTTTTTAATCTTGGTGCAAGAGATTGAAACCTTGATTTTGTTTTAGGTTACATTTATTAATGTTTGGTATTCTTAACATTTTGTTGATGTTCCTTGTTCCTTTGGTTTTTCCATGTCCTGGGTAATACTAAATATATTTCTCAGTTGATACAAAGTATTTGTAAGAGCAAGTAAGTCTTGAAATACATGGAAAATTCTGTTTTCATGGATTTCTTCCTTTATTCTGGGTTGCTTTTTTAACATGAAGAAATTGGCACGCTGTGTTGTCTTCTGTATATGGTGGAAAGGGGTACACCAAGTCTGTCCCCAGTGTTTTAGCAGTATCTAGGAGAGGGGCTGAGTTTTTTCCAATTTTAAGGAGTACCCAATTGTGAAGTTGAAATTCTGCCCTTTGAGGTGGCAATTCAAGATGTTTTCAGTCCTTGGCATGCTTCTGTCAAGAAAGGGGGATGCTACTACCAGTGCCAGTAGTTACGTTAAGTCTTTACTTCTTGTGGATGAAACTAGGATGAGGACCAAGACCTGATTTTTAGCATTTGCATTCCATTGAATGTAAATGGTTTTGTTTCTGTTGTGGCTAGTTCTGTTGCAGATTAGGCCCAGGCACTTTTTTCCCACTTGGAGGTTGGAAGTTGCACTCCATTGAAAAGGACTGTCTTGTGTGGAGGGAGTAGGACTTGGTAGAGTGGGGAAGGTGAAGATAGGAGCCTATGTACTCTAACAGAATCTCATGTTCTCCCCCATCTAGAAGTTCCATTGAACGGAAACCTTGAAGATTGCAAGACAAGTCCAAGATGTGCAGTTCAGTTGCTCCCAGGCTGTGGTTCTTAACAGACCGGCGCATCAGAGAAGATTACCCTCAGCAGGAGATCCTGAGAGCGCTGAAGGCCAAGTGCTGTGAAGAGGAGCTGGATTTCCGGGCCTTGGTGATGGATGAAGTAGTGCTGACCATTGAGGATGGAAATCTTGGTGAGAATGAGCTATGGCTGGGAATGTGCTGAAAGGGTACTTGGGAAAAGATTGTAATATGGAGCATCTGTACTCTTCAATAATGAATTTCATGTGGCCAGACTGCCATACATCATTTTAAGTCTAGTAGATGTACATGATGTCATGTTCTTTAGCATTTATGGTGATAATCAAATATAATTGTCAACTTTCCTAATTTGCATTAGAACTGTTTTTGCCTTCCCTCTGTAGAACAGAGAGGAAGCTTGCTTTGGTTTGTTGATTCCGGGATAAGGACTATAGGACCTCTGAATTAAGAAGAAATACTGGAGTTTCATTTTTGCGTAGGTACTTGAAGTTCACGGGTTACATTTAAGAGTTTCAGGGGGACTTCTTTCTTCTGTTTGTGTTCTGACTCAAAGATAACAAACAGATTTGAAATAAACTAAAAGGCATTTTCAATGGACAGTACAGATTGTCATGGAGCTAGAGGTAATAACGTGACATAACTAAAGCATGCTGCTGTACGGATGTGTAGTTACGTATATGCCAAAAAAGAATGGGGCTGAAAAGCAAAGTATGTGCATCAGAATAATTTGGATTATTACTACAACTTAGTGTTTTAAACGAACATGTAAGATTTCTGTTCTGTTTTCCTATTAGCTTTATTTTTCCTGTGGCGATTAAAAAGGAAAAGCAAGATGTTAAGGTGTTTTAGAGATGTTAAGTAAAATGATTCCATGGGTCATAAGTTTATGTTGTAGGAGGAATATTAATACCAACAATATCAAGCTTTGTAACACTTTTTATTACAGCTTTCCCCCCCCCCCCCC